TGAGTAATTTCTTCTATGTGTTACTTTCCCGTTTTTTGTGCGACCTAACGGACGTAACCAGTGTCCATGCATTGTGCGACTAAATGCCAGTGGGCCACGTTTTCAAGTACCTAGTCCGATTTTATCCCGTGTTATGATTGGAAGGCGGATTTTATGTACTCCTGGCAATATATTTATAGATCACTATTATCCATAAAGCTGTGCGTTTTCACATGACTTCATAATGCAAGGTGATGTTGTCATCACATCAGCTATTTATTGAAAGACTCAGCGGCATGCCGAATTTTGGCAACAAGCCTGATAAACAGAGAATAAAGTGAAGAGGAACCTGTTGGTTGCTTGTATATTACCGGAGGTCGGTGGAGATGAAACCATGGAACCGAGAAACTTGGTGTACGACGTCTTCTGTGTATAACGCACCACTCTGCGCCTCAGATTTCGTACGTTCATGCGGATGCTCCGTACAAGAATAATGTCCTTTTCCAACCTCTGTACGGTGGTGTTCATCGCAATGGACACATTTTCGTCACGATCAGCTGCTTGCTTGCAGCAGTAATCAAGGTGATGAAAATACTCGAAGCCGGAGCTTAGAGTTCACTCAGAATTTTCTGGCCCTTCGTGTGAAAAAGTCGAACGTCGAAAATTCATGGAGGTATATTTTCAAAACTTTGGGGCTTCATAAAGTCAACGCCGCGTTTCTTAAACAGGCTTCTTGCATTAAATTATTCTCCGCCAGTTACACCACGCGCTGATTTTTTAAAAATATCTAAACAATTTTTAGTAAAGAAACGGGGGCGAATTGACCCTAGGTCCCAAGTGGACACATGTGCGCCCCATAAATTTTGACAGGATAATAATACTTATTCCCAACTTTTGGGTGGCATACCGTCTGTCTCTTATCTTGTACAGCGACGTTTACACTGGTGATTTTTGCGAGCTTCTAAGAGCGGAAGCACCCTCTGTTGCACAACAAGATAATTTTATCCACTGCAAATGAACATGAGTCAGTTCGTTGCAGAGCCGGAAAACAAGAGTGCAATGAACCTTACTGTAAACAAAGTCCGTCTGATAATTACACTGCTTACTGTTGAGCACGTTATCAGCACATTTCTGAAATGATGACTTTTTGATGATTCAGTGGCTTTTCTAGCTGACGTATCTCATATTCAATCACGACAAATAGGTAAACTTAGTGCTCAACCGCTCGTGTCAAATGTGTTCAGTTGAATTTGCACAGCATTTAGGATAAGAAAATGCTCTTGTAGGCTTCAGCAGGGATTATTTTGCCGCCTGTAGCAAGTACATAAATGAGTGTCAGTGTGTTTGGGCACGTATAATACCTCCAAGAAATTTTAGTGCTTGATGTTCCAGTAATTGCGAACAGAGTGAGCGTCTGCATAACGAATTAATAATAATAATAATAATAATAATAATAATAATGTTTATTCTCAACATGTGAGTGGCATACCGTTGGGATGACCAGGCGTTTACGGCCAGAATAGGGCACGACTGGGGAATTTGTGGGTAATGGGGATTCCGCGAAAAGGGAACGATATCATGAATAGTGAGAAGTATTCGATGAAATAATAATAACAGGTTTCTTTCGCAACTTGTAGGGAACAATGTGCATGACGTCCGACTAACTCAAATACTCAGTCGGCTGACATCAACGAAAACGGAAAACCATTGCTGGCCACGAGTAACCTTGGACGGTTGGGTAAATGGCTGGAGTCACAACGAGCAAAAGTGGAGGTGGAGGCGGGATAATTCGAATCGGGGGAACATAGCAGGTTTAGTTTCGAATGTATGGTGCAATCTGAGAACAAGCAGACTCACTGGTTGCACTGACGTAGGGATGTCAAGTGCAGGTGTCAGGATGGATGGGGACACAGAAGTGATCGAATTCGAGAGATCAGTCCATAAGGTCGGAATGAGTGTCATGGTGTTAGTTGGGTTCAAGGA